CTGGGAAGGGAAGGGGACAGGAGTATAGGTGAGGGTTCCCTCTGGTCCCAGGCTCCATTGTGCTCCTGAGGCCGTTTCCAGCATGCTCAAAAGTGCATTCATTCATCCAACACAGAGGTATCCAACAATGCTCTGGATGGTAGATACTGTAAAACAGATGGGGGTGACATGAGCTTCTCAATGTACTTAGCATAGTCTTATTATGTAGGGGAGCCAGATTGTGTGCAAGTAAGCAAATAGCCATAAAGAAGATAAATGATGTTGAAGAGAGTGACTGGGATGCAGGCGAAAGAGTTTTTAGGGTCTGGGAAGGTGACATTTAAGAAGAGAGCTAAGACCCAAAAGCTGAGAAGCCACAGAGAGAGCCATGAAAATGTTTCAGACAAAGGGAAGGATGGCCTGGGTGCTGAGGAAAGAAAGAATTTGGAGAGTTGGACGAAAGGAAAGGGCGGTGGTCCATAACATAGCACAAAGCAGCCTGTCTTTCATTCATTCAACAAACATTTGGTGCCTTCCAGGTGCTGAACTTCCAGAGTGGAGTAAAGAGATAAACGTTATCCACCAGGAATCTACATTCTAGTGGGAGGAAAGATTATAAACAAAAATAAAAATAATAATATAATATGGTAAAAGATGATAATGTAACCAAACCCAAGTTTGGCTGCTTGCCACCGCAAAAACCAAACTCATTAGACAGGTGCTAGTGAAAAGGGAAAGAGGTATCATTCAAGTGCTGGTCATGTGAGGAGATGGAGGACTGTTGTCACAAAGCCCATCTCAACATCTCAGTGTAGGCAGGGTTATTGTTTTTTGTTTTGGTGTTTGTTTGTTTTTAAATATGTTTTCATTGATTTTAGAGAAAGAGGAAGGAATAGGGAGAGAGAAAGAGAAATATTGATTGACTGCCTCCTGCACACCCCCCACTGGGGGTGATCAAGCCCACAACCCAGGTGCACTGGTAACCTCTTGGTGCATGGGATGATGCTCAACCAACTGAGCCACACTGGCCAGGGCCAGGCAGAGGCTTTTATAAGGAGGGAGAGGCAAAGCATAACAAAGAAATCAAGGGAAGGGAGTTGAAAAGTTCTCTCCTTGAAGTCCAGTCCATTCCAATAAGGACCTCAAAACTGGTCAAGTGATGGTCTAGTGCAGTGGTCGTCAAACTGCAGCTCGCAAGCCACATACGGCTCTTTGGCCCCTTGAGTGTGGCTCTTCCACAAAATGCCAACTTCTGTGCATGGGCCATGAAGTTTCAATCGCACTGCACGTGCTCACCCACATGTATTTTGTGGAAGAGCCACACTCAAGGGGCCAAAGAGCCGTATGTGGCTTGCGAGCTGCAGTTTGCCAACCACGGGTTTAGTGCAGTGGTTCTCAACTTTCTGGCCCTTTAAATACAGTTCCTCATGTTGTGACCCAACCACGAAATTATTTTCGTTGCTACTTCATAACTATAATGTTGCTACTCTTATGAATCATAATGTAAATATCTGATATGCAGGATGGTCTTAGGCGACCCCTGTGAAAGGGTTGTTCGACCACCAAAGGGGTCACGACCCACAGGTTAAGAACCGCTGGTCTAGTGTGTGTGTGTCATTCTGGTCTTCATCATCCTGGTTTTTTGTCCTTCTGGTTCTATGTTTGAAGATCAGCAGAACACCCAGACCTGGCCCTAGCAGGTTTGGCTCAGTGGATAGAGCGTCGGCCTGCAAACTGAAGAGTCCCAGTTTCGATTCCGGTCAAGGGCACATGCCCAGGTTGCAGGCTGGATCCCCAGTCGGGGTGTGCAGGAGGTAGCCAGTCAATGATGCTCTCTCAACATTGATATTTCTATCTTTCTCTCCCTCTCCCTTCCTCTCTGAAAATCAATAAATATATTTTTTTAAAAAGAATTTTTTAAAAAGTTAAAATTAAATTTTAAAAAAATCCCAGACCTAGGATGACTGAAGGTCAGAGTCTGTATCTTCTGAAGTTAGTTCCTAGGATTCGTATACAAATATGCTGTTTATCTACAAGCTACACATTAAAGTCAGCATTTACAGAAACAATGTCAAAAGAATAGTGGGGTAAGTTATAATTTTCCATTGTTACAGTTCCCCACTGTCAATTTTTTTTCCATTTCCATGGAAGTTAGGGAAGTTGTAGACAAAATATTTCAGAAAACTAGAAAAATTCAGGATCCAGTCTAGTTCATAAGTGAAAAAGAAAATTTTACAATTAACTGAACTAGAGTCTAATATTCATAACTGTGTATTATAGGTTCTATTGAAATATATCTTTTCTCCTAAAATCACCCTCATTTTTATCAAAGAGCCAAATTAAGACTAACTCATTTACTATATTAAGTCCAGTTTCAATTTGGCCTGATGGTTTGCATAAACACAATAGGAATAGCAATTGATCATATAGGCTTTTTAAATCTGCTTTGCTGGAATCTCACAAGAAAATTTCCTCAGGACAAAGAAGCCAAGTCACACAGTTGCCATAAGGCTTTTCCTGCAACACCTATAGGTTTGGGTAAATTCCTCAAGTTCTTGAAGTCCCCAAAATGTCTTGAGGTTCTTTTCTTGCCATCTGCCAGGAAAGCAATCTGTCCCTTACCTGGAAAGACTGCCATGAACCATATATATAAGCAAGGTACCAGGCCATTTTTCCATGGGGCTTTTATAGGCTTCAGAGTCAATCTTCATTCCTTAAAGCCTTTTTGCTGATATCCAGAGTCTAGGCTTGTCTTTCTCAAACTCAACATTCCAGTCAAAGTCTTGATTAAGAAAACAATAATTGGGAATTGTCTTTATGTGTCCTGTTATTAAAAAAATCAGATTTCTATTGGGTTCATACAAATAAATATATTGCCATGAAAATAATAATACTCATTAAGAGTTTTTAAATTCTGGAAGAATAAATAGGGAGAAAAATATAAATGCTTTAATATTGCTTATCAAGGTACAATTTACCAGTTTGCTCTAAGAAAACAAATGTTTTTAAAAATCAATATTGTCAATAGTCTTCATAAGAATAATAATTAGCTTCTGTTTATTCAGTCCCATAATTAATTTTTGTTTATCCTGATTATTTTCCAATATTTCTATAAATCCAGTTATTCCTTAAGAGTTTATAAATTTTATTATTTTAACAATATGATCTGGAACTTTACTGTCCAAAATTCATACATTGAAATAAGTTAGAAGATGTAACATTTTTGCAAATGCATCAGAGTAATACAATGACTGTCTCTAAATGACAAAAAATACTTAAAATACCATGGTTATAGATCTGATTACAATGAAGTTTATTTTATAACAACATTTGAAGATAACACTCAGAATTACAAATGAAAGTATATCAGACTAAGAAATCAATTAATTTGTTCCCCACTGTCAATTGTACCTGGGTTTCCTGTGTGGAAGTTACAGTTGGTTTTGAAAAATATAAGGGAGCTTCCTGGCCTTTTCACTTATTAAAATTATCATTCCCTGTCATCAGGGCATGTGCCCAGGTTTCGGGCTCAATCCCCCAGTGGGGGATGTGCAGGAGGCAGCGAATCAGTGATTTTCTCATCATTGATGTTTCTATCTCTCCCACTCCCTTCCTCTCTGAAATCAATAAAAATATTTTTTTCAAAAAAGAATGGAGGTTTTAGTCAGACACAACAGGCCACATGTAATATGATGCCATTTACATGAAACTTCCAAAACACAAGTCCACCGAGACAGAATAGATTCGTGGTCACCAAGGGTAGGGGGAAATGGGGAGTGACTGCTAATGGTGAGATTTTTTTGGTGGGGGCGGGCAGGGAGGGTGGATGATGAAAATGTTCTGGAGCTTGTAACTGTGAATATACTAAAAAGCACTGGCCCTAGCAAGTTTGGCTCAGCTGATAGAGCCTCGGCTTGCGGAGAGAAGGGTCCTGGGTTCCATTCCGGTCAGGGGCATGTGCCTCGCTTGCAGGCTCCTTCAGGGCCCTGGTTGGTGCGAGTGCAGGAGGCAGCCAATGTGTTTCTCTCACATTGATGTTTCTGTCTTTCCCTCTCTCTTCCACTCTCTCTAAAAATCAATGGAAAAATATCCTCCGGTGAGGATTAAGAAAAAATAAAAAGCATTGAGTTGTACATTTAAAAAAGATGAATTGCCCTAACTGGTTTGGCTCAGTGGATAGAGCATTGGCCTGTGGACTGAAGGGTCCCAGGTTCGATTCCAGTCAAGGGCATGTACCTTGGTGCAGGCACATTCCCATTAGGGATGTGCAGGAGGCAGCTGATCAATGTTTCTCTCTCATCGATGTTTCTAACTCTCCATCCCTCTCCCTTCTTCTCTGTAAAAATCAATAAAATATATTTTAAAATAAAATAAAATAAAAAAGATGAATTGGTCCTGGCTGGTTTGGCTCAATGGATACAGTGTCGGTCTGCAGACTGAAGGGTCCCAGGTTCGATTCTGGTCAAGGGCGCAGGCCCCGGTTCTGGGCTGGGTCCCCAGTGGGGGTCTTGCCCATCAGTGATTCTCTCTCATCGTTGTTTCTATCTCTCTCCCTTCCTCTCTGAAATCAATAAAAATATATATTTTAAAAAGATGAATTGTATATGTGAATTACATCTCAATAAATCAGTTATTAAAAAACGGCCTCATTGAGAAGGTGACATTTGAGCAAAGAACTGAAGGAGAGAATGAGCCCTATTTTGAAGTTTTCTCTTTTCTTAAATATTTGTGAGAACTTGGTATCAAACTCCTTATGTTCGGGTGATGTGTATTTATTGCTTATCTTTTAGTACCACATCTTTTGGCAAAATCAAGGGGAAAAACTGGCCCACTCCTGACCCATGTATTGGGTGACTCCTAGCGCACCGGGATAAGCTCGAGGTCACAGAGGGTCCTGGGACCGCCCGTCACCCGCGCGGGATTAGCTCCGGAGCCCAGCGCGAGGCAGGACCCGCCCCCAACTTCGCCCAGGCCTCCTGCGTAACCACTGACACTCCGCCCCGCTGGATCGAGGCTACGCGCATGCCCAGCGTGGCGTCGCGCACGCGCTCGCCGTAGCTCTCTTCGACCTTTGACCTGCCGGCCGCCCTTGAGCCGGGGCCGCGAGGCGTGGAAGACGGAGCCCGCGCCCCCGAGGCAGAGCGGCTGCCATGGTGAGGCCTGAGTCGGGGGCTGCCCGGGGGTGGGACGGGGGAGGAGGCCGTTTCGGGGCGAGGGCGGCGAGTTCCCCTTACGTGCCCGTCGGGAAGCGGGGCCAAGGGCGTCGCACCTGGGGGTACCTCGGCGGGCGCTGGCGGCCTCGGAGCCGGGGAGAGCCGACTGGCTGGAAGGCAGGGCTCCAGCAGACGCGATGGCCGTGCACCAGCCCATGTGCGAGCAGCCTGAGGCGGAGCTGAGCCCTGCACGCGAGCCTGCTCTGTCCTGGAGCTAGTTGTTGGTGCGGTCCTGTTAGCGTCCCCACTTGGAAGCTGGCGAAACGGCTCCGAGGCTCCGAGACTTTCACAATAAAGTAGAACTGGCTGGGGCTTTTACCAGGCCCTGCGACCCTGAAAACGGTGTTTCTGCGGTACCATTGGCACCTAGAGCCAGTGCACACACCTGGGCCACGCTGGCTGCGTCGGGGCACTTGGGACCCCCTTAAAAATGCAGGGTTCTGCTCAGTTGTTTACAGCGTCGTCCCCATACCAGTGAATGCACGAATGGGTGGAACAACAAATCTCTCCCTCTCCCTCTCCCTCTCTCTCTTTCTAAAATCAGTAAATTAAAAATGTATACTTTTAAAAAATACAGGGTCCTGAGCTGTGCCCCGTCTCAAAGTGATTGATGCAGGGGTTTGAGGAAACACTTCTTAACTGAAAGTGGTAAGAATAACAGAAGAGCTTACAAGTGCCAGCCCCTGCGCTGAGGCTTTAAGTAGATTTTCATGGAATTCTTTCTTTTTCTTTTTGATTTTTATGTAATTCTTAAAGAAATCGGTGCTTCTCACTGCCCCCATTTCACAAGAGAAGGAACCTGAAGCTCTGCATGTTTGACTCCTCCAGGGTCACTCATCCCACGTGTGCCTGGGATGGCACCACTCCTTCTGTGTCCCAAGACTTGACGTTTCCCATCACATGATTTCTGCCTTGTAATGGTCACTGCCATTTGTTGGGGCCCTATGATGAGCCCTCACTGAACTGGGTCCTTCATACCCACTCCCACATGTAACTCTGAGCCACCCTCAAGGGCTGAGTTAAATGTGGCTCTGGAGGAGTTTGTATCCTCTGGGAGAAGGTAGGCCAGTCTGTCAATTAAGACAACTTGATATTAATAGGACAAGAACAAGTGCTATGGGAAGGTAGAAATGGGAGGAGACTGGGAAGGTTTCACTTGGGTGGGGGTCACGTGACTAGGTCTTGAAGGATGTTGGATTTTGACAGTATTGGAGTGGAAGGGAGGATATTCAAGGTTATGGGTATGGAGTTTTTTTGGGGGGGGGGATGAAAATGTTTTGGAACTAGTGATGATGGTCACACAACTCTAACTACACTAGAAAGCACTGAGTTGCCCACTTTAGAAGAATGACTTATGCGGTGTGTGAATTCAGAGCTGCAGAGGTTTCAGGTAAAGAAGTAGAGGGGCTGATGTAGGAGTGAATGGTGGAGAGAGGTGAGGGAAGAAGAAACCAGAGAAGTCATCTGTGCCTGGACCGAACTGGAGAGTGGACTGAATTTGCAGGCGGTGTTGGTGGAGAGTTGTGTGTGTTGTCAGGGGAGGCTAGAGCCCTCCTCAGCAGAGGGTGTGGGGGGCATTTGGAAATTCTGTCTGGGGACTTAGAGATTATGAGACTTCAGTTTGCCCAAAGCAGAGCCGACGGTGTCTTGGTTAAACGTCACATTCATTCAAATATGTATCAGGCACCTGCTGCGCCAGCCACAGGCCAGGCCCACACACAACCATGGTCAATTGGACAGTTGTGGCCGTGACCTCCCTCCTGCTTAGTTGTGATACCAACAGCTGTTTGCAGGGGCCCTGTGTGAACAGAGCCCCATCCTATCTCAGTGCATCCTTGAAAGAAAGGGGTGAATCTCTGGCTGTCTCTGCCCACCAGCCTGAGGGCCTGGAACTGTTCCTCGAAGGAAACAGTGCACATGGGTTTGTCTGAAAGCCAGACTCCCTTGTTGATGCACTTGATTTGGGATAAACCACATTCCTGAGTGCTCTCCCACCCCCAGCTGCGGGCCTTTGGTCCTGCATTAGGCAGGATGCTTCCCAGGTGAGAAAGCATGTGTGCTGTCCACAGTGTCCCAGGCTCAGAATCCTGGCTCTGACCTCTGCTCCTTAACTGTCAGCTTGGCCTGAAGTTGGATGCTGTGTCAGCCAACTGGCCCAGGGTCTTCAGGCCCAAATGTCAGTCTCTGGACTATGGGCTTTCTGAGAGAGGCCTCAGCCAGTGGCTGTCTTCATCACCTGTGGTAGCGATAGTTGGCAGAACTCTGCTCCCCCATCCATCTTCAGCTCTGAGCGTAGTTGACCCACAGTTGTTGCTTAGCAGGTGTCTGGGTCTTGAATAGATGAATGAGAGACTTGGCTATACCTCTCATCTCTAGATTATTCAACACCAGGTAGGACCTGGTCCAGAAGCAAAGGCAGCTGTTGAGTTGCTCTGGACCTGCCACTGTCTGTCTGTCCTCTTGGTCTTATGTGCATTGCCTCCTGAGGGTCTTACAGCTCTCCTGTGAGGAAGGTAGTATTCTCCCCATTTTGCAGATAAGAAAACAAATTCAGCCCTGGTTGGATAGCTCCTTCGGTTAGAGCAGTGGTCGGCAAACTCATTAGTCAACAGAGCCAAATATCAACAGTACAATGATTGAAATTTCTTTTGAGAGCCACATTTTTTAAACTTAAACTATATAGGTAGGTACATTGTTATTAACTTAATTAGGGTACTCCTAAGCTGGCCTTTGCTAAAAACGTCCTCAATCTGATTGAGGTACGTTCGCTGAGGTAGACCCCTTCCAACTCTCCCATCCACACTCGTCTTGTATACCTGTTTTGTCTATCTCCTTTCCGAAAACCGACTTCTGCGCATGGGCCACGAAGTTTCAATCGCACTGTACGTGCGCGCCCACATGTGGTATTTTGTGGAAGAGCCACACTCAAGGGGCCAGAGAGCCGCATGTGGCTCGTGAGCTGCGGTTTGCCGACCACTGGGTTAGAGCATTGTCCTGATATGCCAAGGTTGTGGGTTCAAATCCCCGGTCAGGACACATACAAGAATCAACCAATGAATGTGTAAATAAGTGGAACAGCAAAGTGATATCTCTCTCCCTAACCCCTCCCTTCATCTCTCTCTAAAATCAATAAGTAAACAGAAAAAAAAATTCAGAGAGGTTGAGTAATTTGCCCAGTGCCACACAATTAACAAGAAGCAAAGCTGGGGCCTGGCTGGCGTGGCTCAGTGGTTGGGTGTTGATCTATGAACCAGAAGATGAAGATTTGATTCCCAGTCAGGGCACATGCCTGGGTTGCAGGCTCAATCCTCAGTTGGGGATGTGCATGAGGCAGCCAGTCGATTATTCTCTTTCATCATTGATGTTTCTCTCTCTCTCTCCCTCTCCCTTCCTCTCTGAAATTGATACAAATATATTTTTTAAAAAAAGAAGAAGAAGCGAAGCTGGGGATTTCAGGTTATGTCAGCCCAGCTCCAAAGCAGCATTCTCACTCTGCTTTCACATTGCTTCTGAGGTCCCTGGCTTTTTGCAGCCTCCTCCCCTGAGTAACTAGAGAATCTATTAAATGAGCTGCTTTATTGGGAGAAGCTTTGTTACTCCATAGTGACTGGCCATTGTCAAGTTTTTTTAATAGTAATAAATGAAAACCAACATTTATTGATCACCTACTGTGTCATCAGGCTCTGTATCAGGCACTTTACACACATTACCTCATTTAATCCTTATGGCAGTCCCATTGTTGGTGAGGAATCGGAGACTCAGGGGGGTTGAGAACTTGTCCAGGGCACACAGCTGGGATTTGCACACAGGTAATCCCAAAGCTTGCCTGTGTAACCACAAGACCACATGGCCTCCCCTGGGAGTTGGCTCTCCCGGGAACCTTGTAGTCTAATTCGGCTGACCGGGCAGCTCCCTTAGCTACTGGGAAACTGCAGAACAGCCCAGCCTTCCCTGCAGCCACAGAGCTCTGGCAGCTGGAACCATGGAGCCACCATGCCACTTTGGTTTGAAGCCTAGAGGGGATGGTAGGGGGAATTGCCCATGACAGCCTTGTTCTTAACATTCATTTTTTTTAGCAACAGTTACTACCCTGGGCAGAGTACAAGGTGGTACAGTGGTGGTGCACTCAGGCATGTGGCAGCAAAGGAGGGTATGTTCTGAAGGTTGAAGGTGCCAGGCCAAGGAAACCCTCTGGAGACACCTAGCGGCCTATCAGTCTCTCTCTGTCACTCAAACAGGACCAGCAATTCATCCCAGAGCCTCCTGTCCCACTTGAGAGCGGCTTTAGGTGGGGTTGGGGAGTCAGGTGAGGCTTCCCAGTCAATAGCATGTCCATTGTTTGTCTTCACACCTGCAAGGCAGCTGGCTGGAGCCCTGACCACAGGAGTCTTCACTGAGCTTTGGTTTCTGGTGTGAAATACAGGACTTATGAAATTTCCACCCACTCGTGAAATCCAAACCCACTTCCATTTATTAATTCCTGACAATGGCCCAGAATTACTAGGGAAGGGCAAGTTCAAGGGAGGCCAGTTCTGGAGTCTGGATTGCACTGGAATCTGACAAGACCCTCTGGCCTCTGGGTTGGGTCCTTGCTCCTTGTCAGATCCCAGAACCATGTGTGAGATGGGCAACCTAGGGATACCATGGCTGATAGCACTGGCTTTGGGATCCTTGCCCACCTTCCCCTGAGTACTAGCTGTGTGTCTTTGGGCTGGTCTCTAAATACCTCTGTGCTTTAGTGTCTTTTTTTGTTTTGTTTTTTTTGTGTTGTTATTTTTTATGTCTCAGTGTCTTGAGTTGTTAGGGTTAATGACACAATAGCCCTAGCCGGTTTGGCCCAGTGGATAGAGAGTTGGCCTGCGACTGAATGGTTCCAGGTTTGATTCCGGTCAAGGGCATGTTCCCGGGTTGCGGGCTCAGTCCCCAGTAGGGGGCGTGCAGGAGGCAACTAATCAATGATTCTCATCATTGATGTTGCTGTCGTTCTCTCCCTCTCCCTTTGTCTCTTAATCAATAAAAAATATTTGTTAAAAATAAAAAATAGCACAATAAACAGAATGTGTTTGGCGTGGTGCCTGTCACTCTTGCTTACATACTTGTTGACTGATAGGAAATCTAAAGACAGAAAAGTACAAAGAACAAGTGAAACCACTTGGATGTGCCCCATGAACAGTGTTGACCTGCAGTGAGCATTCTCCAGGTGTCCTCTACCAAGTTTGTACCATCTCTCACACACAGCCATTTTCACATGGGCAGGCTATATGTAATCTCTGTTCACTGTAAGAGCTGCACATTTGCCCATCTCAGCTGCTTCCTGGTCCCCTAGGCTTTTGGCTGCTACCTGGACATTTCTTATGCTTTCTCCCAGTTTTGGCTCCCCTTGGTCCCTCGGCCTAGGAAGCCCCAGTATCCCCATCATAATTCTACCTGCCCTTCAAAACCCATCCCAGTAGACATACTATTGTCTTCTAGTAGCTCCATCTCATTCCTGGTTTCCATCCATGCCTCTGGTCACGTGCTTAATGAGACTCCCCACTTGCCTCTGGGGTGCATGGACCCCTGTGGCCTCAGGGTGGGACACTGCCATGTGGTGCCTTGGAGGATTTCCCTGCAAGGCCTGGAGGTGTGGGAGCTCCAAGGACAGGGGCCCCTGCATCTGATTTTATTTTATTGATTGATTGAGTTTAGTAGAGGGAGAGGGGGGAGGTGGAGGTGAGAGAGAAATTGATTTGTTGTTCCATTTATTTATGTATTCATTGGTTGACCCCTGTCTGTGGCCTGACCAGGGATTGAACCCACAACCTTGGAGGAACAACACTCTAACCAACTGAGCAACTCGGCCAGGGTTGGGCCCGTGTATCTTTGTAGTCTAAATGTTGCCTCTCAGTGAGTGAGTGAATGAGTGAGCCGGTGGAGGAATACGTAACAGCCCTGCGCTCCCTCATTACTTGGTCCTTGATGTGTTTGTATAAATGCCTGCCTCATGGCCTTTCCCTCCTGGAAGGTACAGAGTTTTTGCTGTGTTGTGTTGAATGAAGTACACTTGAATAGTGTTGGGAAAATTAGAATGTCACCAGTAGAATGAAGGTTGGACCAGCCGGTCCCAGAAACACAGAAAGTGCCCTCGTTGGCCTAGATGCCAAAGTGAGTGAGTGGGTGAGTCTGGGACTGGCCCTAGTTCTGGCTCCTGGCCACAGTGTTATTCCTGAAGCCAGTGGCTTCTGTGCCCTACAGCCACTTTGCCTTGGCTCCTACCTGCTCTCCCAGAGGCCATGGAAAAGCCAAGTGGTGTGCCTCTGGGGACTTGGTCAGGTTTACTCCCTCACCTACTCTCTCATGAACGCCTGAAGCCACCCAAAGTAGCTTTTCTTTAGAAAAGGCCTGTGGCTGCCGTTTTGTGTTTTATTACCTCAACTTTCTGGGGGCCACTCCGCAGCCATTTCCAGGGTGCCACCTCTGGGGGCCGCAGCCTGCTAACCAAATGCCTGCTTTGCCAACAGGCCAAGTACCTGGCCCAGATCATTGTGATGGGGGCGCAGGTGGTGGGCAGAGCCTTTGCCCGGGCCCTGCGGCAGGAATTTGCAGGTAAGCTTGACCCCCTCTGGCCACTTCTGCCTCCATGTGTCACTTGGCAGGGGTGAGCCACCTACATGGAGGCCAGGTGAGCTCTGGGCTGCTGAGGGTTGAGCACTAACCCCATGTTCACACAGCCAGCCGGGCAGCAGCTGATGCCCGGGGACGTGCCGGACACCAGTCTGCAGCCGCCTCTAACCTCTCCGGCCTCAGCCTCCAGGAGGCACAGCAGATTCTCAATGTCTCCAAACTGAACCCCGAGGAGATCCAGAAGGTGAGGCCACTGGGCTGGCTCTGAGACAAGCAGACCAGAAAGGGGGGTGGGGGGACAGGCCAGCAGCGTGGGTAAGAGTAAAGGAGGCCTGGCAGGAAGGGGTAGGGTAGACTTGGGGTACAGCCAGCTGGGACTCCGACTTGTGGGAGCCAATGTCCCTTGTTAGTTTTTAGGCCCAAGGGAGGCAGTAGCAGGGGCATTGAGCAGTTGGTGGTAGCAGCCAAACCCCTCCCTCCTTGGGTACCTGTTCACCTTTCTGCCCCTTAGTGGTTGTAGTGGCTTCCTGTGTGGCGTTTCAGGCATGCAGGGCGGAGGGATCGAGCCCTTTTGCTTTCCTTCTTTGTCATCTCCTAGCTTCCCCCGCCTCTGTAACCCAGAGACTGCACACCTCTCACCGTCTCCCCTCCTCTGCAGAAGTACGAACACCTATTCAAGGTGAATGATAAATCTGTGGGCGGCTCCTTCTACCTGCAGTCAAAGGTGAGTAGTGTTTGCTGCTGGGAGGAGGGCAAGCCATGTTCCAGGTAGTTCAGGGCTTGGCAGGCAGAAAGATGTGTGGGCCTCTCCCAGGTGCCCCAACCTCAGGGAGACCCCCTAAACTGTCACTCCTTTTGGCTGCCTCGGCTGTTGGGTTCTGTCAGGCTGAGTCCTGCATCAGCCTGGACAGTGGCCCTCCCAACAGCCATGACTTTGAGGGAAGAGGACCATTAGCTGGTGGGTTGCTAGAAGCAGCTTCAGATCCCATATGACAGTCCACATGCCCTGGGTTGTCTCCTTATAGGGGGAAGTCCCCAGGCCACTTTTCCCACCCCAGGCACTAGACCTGCCTCATGCTGTCCGGACTCACAGCTGGAATTGGACCATCTTGTGCAGGCCACCCTACCTAGCTGTTTGTAACTCCTTCCCCAGGTGGTCCGAGCGAAGGAGCGCCTTGAGGAGGAGCTCCGAATCCAGGCTCAGGAGGACAGAGAGAAAGAGAAGAGGCCACAAACGTGACCACTGGCTCCTCCCACCCCACCCCCCCTTCCACTAATTTATAGCTCGTTAATAAATGTCTTTTCCTCATTTCTCAATTGCATGTCTAGATTCCAGAAAACAGACTGCTCTTCCTGCCAGCCATGGGCTGGTGGGAGAAGGGCAAGGGGCTGGGTGGGTAAGTTTAGCAAGAAGCCAGGCAGCCTACCCACCTGGCCTGGCCTGCCCGTGGAGAGCCAGCCAAGTTCTGTTATGTACTGGACACAGCCACTCCTGCTGTCAGTGCCAGCGCCAGGTCCCTCCTATAGTATGACCATCCTTGGATCTGCCGCTGCCCTTCTCACCTGGGGACAGAGCCCTGGGCACCCAAGCTCTGTCACAGAGCACCTCTCCACACTGAGTTTGACTCTAGCATCTCAGTGATTGGAGCAGAATGCTCCATGTACAGCTGGGGAAGAGAAGCCTCTCATTGCCCAGAGGCCCTGGAGCTGGGTCTTCCTAAGGGCTAAGCCACTTACCAAAGCCACAGCAGGTACTGCAAGACAAGCAGCTAAGCCTGTGCGCTTTGTCTGGAATCTTGCTTTTCAGCTCCTAGCACTCCTGCTCCCTCAGCACCTGACCCCTCCTACCCTTCCAGCTCCCAGCAGAATGTTGAGGTGATGGCACCCACAGGGTTAGGAGGAAACCCAGAACGGCCTCTGGGTGCCGCAGGCTGGAGTGGGTGACCTTAGAGCCAGACACAGGACAGTTGGAAGTGATCTCTTGTTGGGTGGCTCAGCCTCTGGCACATCCACAACAGAAACCATCTTTGCAACTCACTTTTATTGTTTCTTTATAAACTTCCTCTCACATGGAGGAATATATTGTTATAGTCATTAGCTTATCTTTTTTTTTTTTTCTTTTTACTCTATGCTAACAGCAGTGGAGCCAAGAGGAGGAAAAACATAAGCTACGATAGAAAGGCACTTAGAACCTGTTAAAATACTGATATCCTGGAATGTGCAACAACAAACCAACAACAACACATATACCAGCTCTCTTGAGCCTGGTCTATCACTGAGTCACATGCTGAGCTAATGTCATCTTCCAGTGCCCTGCTCCTCTGCTCCCTGGGCTTCCATTGCAAACCCAAACCCCTCATCCCCCAACTGGGGACTTAAAGGGCCTGGGGCCCTCCATGGGGTGGGGATGCCTGGGTCCTGATGAAGCCTGAAGGAGGCCAGCTCCTTCCTGTTCTGCTCACAGCCCCTTCGAGAGGCAGAGCCAGCACTGCCAGGCCCTGTTAGGGCGGGCTGGGTCAGGGTGACCCCTCTAGGACAGAAGGGCAGTCCAGAAAAGGGGAGGGGTCAGCAGAGCTGCTGAGGAACAGTAGGGGGACTCTGGAACTGCAGGGCTACTACGGACCCCACTGCTGTCCTGCAGCTCCCTTGTTCTGTCAGGGAAAGGGAAGGGTTGCTCACTGATGCCAAGGACTGGGCAGGCCTGGAGCCAAAGCTCCTGTGCCTAAACCAGTGCCTCGGCACAGTGAGGGTTCAGGGTGGGGAAAGCACTTGCTGCGTCCCCAGGGCCTGGTGGGAGAGCCCATTCCTAGGGTCAGGTAGTGGGCACCTGGAACACCAGCATCCTTGGCTTATTCTGGCCCCTGGGATTAAAAAAAAAATGTCTAGGACAGGGGCTCAGATGGAAGAAGCCAGAGGAAACAGTATGTCTTAAGTCCAGGCTTCCACCGACTTCCCCCTCCCAGGTGTAAGGGCTGGGCCTCCCATAGCCAGTCTTGACTGCTTCACCATCTCCCAAGCCCAAGGCCTCAGTCCATGGCCTCTGGGAAGCTCCTGTGCCCAGCACTGGCCTGTAGCCCTCCCTTACCTGTGTGCTGGCTGTGACTTGGCACCCCCAGCATGAGAACTGTCCCAACCTGGGGTCATCCCCAGCCAGCTTCCAGCCTCCTATCGGCCTGCAGGTGTCTGCAGCCCCAAGTGCAAGAGGGACACTGCCCCAGGCCAGGCCCACCCCACCTGTTCCCTGAGCCAGGCCTGCCCGAGGTCCTGGCACCTCCCTTCCCCACACTCCAAGGCTCCCTACAAGGTAGAGGGGAGAGGCCAGTGGTAAAGAGGCAGCTGAGTGGTCAGCTGTTCCTTCATTTTGGAGAGCACCGTCCAAACCAGAGAAGGGCTGCTTCGGATAGGTAGGTAGGTGATGAGGGGCAGTGGGCCAAGCAGGCCTCCCTCTCTGAGCAGGAGGCACCTTGTCATAAGGATAAGGTGGCTCTTCCTGTGGCTTTGCAGGGGCCTGCGTCTGTCTTGCTCTCCCTCTGGAGGGTGGGCCAGAGGGAAAGGGGTCCAAGGAGCCCCCGAGTGGGAGCCTGGTGAAACCGGGCAGGATGGGTAGGGGCCTCAATCCCAGGGCCCCTCGTCACAGCTTACCACATGAAGGGGTGCGGAAGCCCTGGGCCAGCAGAGGGGGCAGATGCCACCCCACCTGCCCCCACTGCTGGGATGTGGCTGGCAAGTGACAAGGTAGGGAGGGAAGGTGACCTGTCCAGGTTGGCCACTGGGTGAGGGAGGCACCAGGGTGGAGGACAGGGCCGGGAGACAGGGCCAGAGGTGAGCAAGGCCTCAGCACTCGGGCTCAGGTCTCTCTGGCGAGTAGGCAGTTCCTCCTTTGGGAGCCGGGGACACCAGCAATGGCCTAGCACCATCCTTGCCACCCAGCTTGTCTGGGGCTGGGGCTGGGGCTGCCAGGGGAACACAGCCAACCAGGCCCTGGGGGCAGGACATTATTGCTATTTCGCAGAAAAGTTTCCGTTCGTCGGGGCAGGGCTGGGAGCTTTAGGTCGTTGTCCCTGGGATGAGTTCAATTCACCACAGCTGGTTTGAGCAGCACTGAGCCCGGCGGAATGACCACCCAGCCAGGGGCCAGGGCCTCTGGGCTGCTGGCCGCCGAATTGACGCCTGTGGACAGGTCCAGCACGGTGCCTGGCAGCAGGGGGAGTCCTTCCGGGCTGGGCCGGGAGCGGCCACTCTCAGTCCTCTCCAGGGGGGTCTTGCGGCCCTCCAGGCCAAGGGCCCTGACTGGCACTGCCCCACGCCCCTTCTCCCCCTCGGCCTTGCCACCCGTGGAGCCAGCCAGGAGGGAGACCACAGGCAGGCCCAGTCCACCAACCCCAAAGGGTGAGGGCATCAGTGGGTTCTTGGCCAGATTGAGAGGCAGGACAGGGCCTGGCAGCTCATGGCCCATGCCCGCCCCACTCCCCCCACCCCCACCATTGCCACAGGCCAGGGCACTGAGGTCAAGGGGGCCGGGGGCCAGAGGCAGGGGCAGGCCGGGCAGGCCAGGGCCTCCGAAGAGGGCAGCCGGGTTGGGGATAATGATCTGGGCTCCACTGACATAGGGGCTGCCATCAGGGGCAGGCAGTGGTGGTTTGGGGGGTGGGCGCAGTTGTAGGAGCTCCTGCTGCTCATGGGACACGAAGTGGCCATGGGCCTTGATGTGCTTGCGCAGCGAGCTGGGGTCCGTGTAGCGCTTGTGGCAGCCAGGCATCTTGCAGTAGTAGGGCTTGTCCACGTAGTGGGTTCGAGTGTGCTTGAAGCGGTCACTGGAGTTGGAGTAGCGCTTGTTGCAGCCCTCATATGGGCAGACGTAGGGTTTCTCACCTGCGAGTGGGGCTGGTGTGAGAGGTCTCCCAGCCCAGTGTCCTGCCCGCACCTACTACCTACGTAGCAGACCCCAGACTAAGATGTCCTTGAAAGTACAGACTCCCATTTGAGGGGCAGTGTCCTCAGCACCTGGCATGAGATGTGACTCTAGGTAGAGGCAGCAAGGCACTGCCACTGAACAGCCAGCCTGGTTACCCTCAGAACCCCTGTGCACTGACTGTGTGCCCTTGGCGTTAGTGCTATGCTTCACATTGCAGGTGACAACAGCCACGTCAATAAGAGAACTGATAAACCTGATTACAGACTTCCATAAAGCCCCTACTAGAGGCAAGCCCACAGTGAGCACTGCATGAATGCTGACTGCCCTTTATGCAGCCTTTACGCAGCAGAATGGCTCCAGATTTACTAAACGTCTGCTCCCTCACTGGCCAGGATGGAGCCACGTGAGGCTATGGGCCTTTGAAGTGTGGCCACTCCAAATTGAGATGTGCTGTGAGTGTAAAATACATACCAGATTCTGCAGACTTCAAACGAAATGAAGATTTTCAGTGTCTCATTGATATATTTTTAATTTTGAAATGATAATACTTTGGACATAATTGGGTTCCAGAAAATATATGATTACCGTTCATTTCACCTATTTCTCTGTACTTCAATGCAGCAATTAGGAATTTTAAAATCAGGTGTGTGGCTCTGTTGGCCAGTGCTGGCCCTACTGTGTGCTGATGTATGGTGAGGAGCAAAGCAGACATAGTGAGTGCAGTCGCAGGTGGCATGAGTCAGACAATCTTACAAACAATGCCGAGTGTGGCGGGAAGACCTGCCTGTGCTCCGGTTTATTGAGGGTCTCACCTACAGGAGAGGCTTCCCCCAGCAAGTGGAGCTCGAAAAGGGACCGTCAACAATGGGATGCATCCCTGTCTCTTGGGTGCCCGTGGATAGCCAGGCGCCTGCCCAGCTGCTACCCTCCAGCACCCCCTCTCACCTGTATGTGACCGGTTGTGGATTTTCAGGTTCTCCAGGCGGGAGAAGCTCTTGCTACAGGTGGGGCAGCGGTGCGGCTTCTCATTGGTGTGTGTGCGGATATGGATGAGCATCTTGTACCTGCTCCAGGGAGGGCATAGAGCACAGCTCAGCTCAGTGGACACCTGTGCCCCCTCCCTCCTGCCAGCTCTCGCCCTTCCTCACCTGGCATTGAAGCCTCGACCGTGACGGGCGCAGCCTTCCCAGTGGCAGCAGTACCCCGCATCCTTCTCTGGCTTGACATGGTAATCATTAACATGATCCACCAAATCTTGCAGGAGCTCGAAGAGCTGGTTACACTGCGGGGCCAGGGAGGGTTCTGAGCCCATGTGAGGCCACCTGCCCCAGGCCCTGTCCCACTCTTCCTGGCCCACACTCACCTTGGCCCAACGACAAACGAGCTGCTTGGGCAG